TATATATATATATATATATATATAAACACAAATACATACACACAGTATTTATTATTACAGGTATTTATTTAGCATCGACAATTTACGCAGCACTTTACATAGTTGCACATTCACATTAGTCCCTACCCTCAAGGAGCTTACAATCTAAGGTCCCTATCTCACATGCACACATAGAGGGCCAACTTAGAGAGGAGACAATTAACCTACCAGCATGGTTTTGTAGTGTGGCAGGAAACCGGAGTAACCAGAGGAAACCCACCACAGGGAGAACATGCAAACTCCTTGCAGATAGTGACCTGGCCGGGACTTGAACCAGGGACCCGCAGTGCTGCAGTATGAATAAAAAGAAGCTGGACACAGTGGCGTAACAATCACCATAGCGACCCAGGTGGCCGCTATGGGGCCCGGCCAGATGCCGTGCGGGCCGCCTGGGATCCTCTGCTGCTGGCTTTCACTGGCGGCTGAAGACGAACACGTCGCTGTTCAGATCACTGACGGTAATCTGTGCAGTGGCGCATTCCTCTCCAGAGTCAATGAGAGCCAGCAGCGGCGGTGGAGCCCATGGTCGGCAGCAGGGGAGGATGCGGGGCCCGGTGACGGGGCCCATCAGCCACCATGGACGAAGAGGAGGCAGACAGGTAAGGAGTGCGGCCTGCACACCTGAGGGTGACCCTGCAGAGCCCACCATAGAGAGAGTCTATGGTGGGCTCTGCAGGTTCACCCTCAGGTGGGATCTCGAGCGGGCTCTGCAAGGGGTATAACTAGAAATCTTGGGGCCCCATAAAAAAGTTTGCTATGGGGCCCTATGATTTCTAGTTACGCCCCTGGCTGGACAGCTTTCCTTCAAACAACAGAGGAAGCATGTGCACATTCCCAGGCAAAGGCACGAATCGCTCCCAAAAGTGGACCCTCACACTGCAAGGGTTAATAATATTTTCTGCAGTTCTTTTAACCCCTTCGTGACTGACGACGTACAGTGTACGTCGCCAGCATCGGGACTCAGTTATGAAGGGGTTAATAAAAAAACCACAGGTTCAGCATTCTTATGGACAGAAAAAAAAAAAATCCACAGCTCCAATGCAAGAAGCATTTTAAAATACACATTCACCCACTTCCAACCACGGAATACTTTGGGTATTATGCAAAGTGAAAACTGGGTGGATATCAGAATGAATCTACATTCACCAAGTAATAAACAGGGTGAATAGTAAAGCACAGTCCCATTGAAGAACAGATGTTGGGAGAATCTGGTTTGCTGAAATTTTCTCAGGGGGTTAATCTTTTTATAGACGGGGAATCACATTTGAAAATGGGCAAAAAAAAAAAAAAGTGAAAAACTGAATCTTAGCCATAAAAATGGGCGAATCTCGCCTGAAAACAAAGAAATACACACCAAGATGTTTTAGGTTCTTTATTGCAACCGCGTGGAGTTTGAAATGACATAATACCCGGCCACATTGGAAATATTAGGAAAGAAAAAAATGTATATTTATGTCATGTAAATCCTGCTTGGTCAGAAATCGGATATTTTTATTGACCCTTCAAAAATCTGCTAATATTTAAAAGTCCAATCTTGCTTTCAACCTCGGAAATAGCGCTTTGTGCTCCATCATCTGCCAAGTCCTTCAGTAAGGGCGGAATTTCCTCTGTGCGCGCATAATTGCAATCTTCTGCTTGTCTTCCTCAAACTTTCTACGTAGCTCAGACAAGGCTAAAAAAATAAAAATAATAAATCATCATATTAATAATAAATAAAGCACAAGGCATGAAAAAAACCACACAAGAATTCTAATAGGGCCCGAGCAGGAGGGTTTCCCCACAGGGCCCGAGCGTTTCCCCACAGGGCCCGAGCGCGAGGGTTTCCCCACAGGCCCCGAGCGTTTCCCCAAAGGGCCCGAGCGTTTCCCCAAAGGGCAAGAGCGTTTCCCCAAAGGGCAAGAGCGTTTCCCCACAGGGCCCGAGCACGAGGGTTTCCCCACAGGGCCCGAGCACGAGGGTTTCTACATGCGTTTTTAATTATGTGTTGCACTGTATAATAAAGATGACGTCTTGGATTCCCAAAAAAGCCCCCTTTTATAAAATGTCCTTGACTACTTGAGGTCCCAGGTGCCATTTGTATTATTCATTTGTCCCAGTGACTTTGCTTGTCTCGGTACAATGTTGTAGACACGTGCATAATCCTGCACAAAACTATAGGCCTAGGATCATTTTCTGCTGGGTCCATACAAAAAGGCCTATTGAGGGATCAAAGCTGTGACCGTGGATTGCTGGATGGTCCTCAGCTACTTACCCTGCAGCCGATGCATCTGATCTTGTTTTCTGCTGCTGACCCAGCTAGTATCTTGAACGTGGCTTGCTCTTGTTTCCCTGTTGCTAACCCCCCCTCATATCTTGACCACGGCTTGTTCCTGTTGCCCTGTTTTGTCTCCTGGCCACATCTCGTTCCTGTCTACCCGTTTCTGACTCTGCTTGATCTTTCTAACCTGGTGCTGACCCGGCTTGTCTCCTGAGCACATCTCGTTCTGGTCTACCTGTTGCTGACCCAACCCACTTCCTGATCATGGCTTGTACAAATGATTATTTTCCCAAAACTGGTCCATAGCCTAAAAAGGACGCCATGCTATTCCTGCTGCATGACACTCAGTATGATCAATCCTTTTCCTCAGCTGCCTCACTGTCAAATCTCCCCCTTGTAGTTCACAGCACTGTAGGGGTGATCTCATCATGCCAGGGCTGTTTTCCTCAGGGCAGAGCAAGTTGCTTATCTGAGCAGCAGCATTCCTATTCGCACCCACTTTTGTTCTCATTCGTCTCCTAGCAGCATGCAGATAGCACTGTAATAGAAAACTGCATGTAGCTAGGGGAGGAAGGAGAATAGAGGCAGGCAACATTCTTCACACCAATCTCAGACACAAAGCTCAATTTGTCATGCGCACGGCTTAATTGTATGTGAGGCGTATATTGTATTTTGATTCCACACAATAAGGTGTCGTGTATTGTATTAACTTCTGGCAAGAGTGAGATCCATCCAGTCAGCGTACGAGTACTGACACCCGCACCCGTATGGACGTGCAGGTCAGAGTGTACGGCTGCGTACTCCCATAGAGAAGGACTGGCTGCTGCGTATAAATCACACGCAGCGCCTGTCCTTCCCGATACGGCCGAGCACGCAGCATGCATCTGTACGGCCCGGCTGTTACCCGTGTGAATGAGGCCTTAAAGCTCTCGTGTGTTTTTATGTGATGTGACCATGATTTGTTTTCAATGTTATCCTTTTTTTTTTTTGCACTACTTATCAATTTTTCAGGTTATTTTAAAGACATTGGAACCCATTCAGTTACTTCTGCTACATGCATGAGGGTTCTGAAAAGACAATTTAACATATTAAATAGGGATGCACCGATACCAGTATTTTGGTACCGAGTACCGATAATTTTTTTTGGTACTCGCCGATACCAATTACAGAGTAATGGAAGTCCTATTCAGGAAGCCAGGTGGCGTGTAATGACTCGCCACTCGGCTTCCCGATTAACAAGAAAGTCCCCTCTTACCTTGGTATGTCCAGCCTGTCACTCCCGGGGCCTCTCCAGCCCCAGAACGTGGCCTTCCTCCGGTAACCAGCCGGAGCCGTCTGGCCGGCCAATCAGGAAGCCGGGCGCCGTGTAATGGCTTCATGCTCCCTCGTCATCTCAGGAATCAGAAAGCAGGTCGTTGCGTCATTACACGGCGCCGGGCTTCCTGATTGGCCAGCTTCCCGACCAATCAGGAAGCCGGGCAGCGAGTCATTACAAATGTAAGACAATCATGTGTCGAGCTAGGCACATGATTGTCTTACATCCTTTTAGATATTTGTATTTATCTTGAGTTCCTAGTAGCTCTTATTTGTATTTATTTACTGGCGCTGATCACTTATTGTTTTATTTGCGTCATTACAAATGCTCCAATGCCTAGCCCGATACTTTCTGTATCAGGACGTGTAATGACGCGCTGCCCGGCTTCCTGATAGGCTGGGAAGTCGGCTCCATGCTCTCTCATCTGCTTGTCATGGTATAACTGACCTCTACAGCGATCTGGGTTTCTGTGTTGGCTAAATCCTGTTATTAGTTTTCTCGTAATATCTGTACATATGTTTATCTCACTTTGTGGCTGAGCAGTATCTTTCCTATTACCAAACAAGCACATACTTCCCCTGTGTGCACATTTCTGCTGTCGTAGAACAACCTACATTCTTTTTTGCTGTTACGATTCTGCCAGGCATAGAAATTCAACAGTTCCTTCTGAGCTCTCTTCTTCTTTTCCTTTTCCGTCACATTAATAGTGACCGTTTCGGTCCTCGCTACACCTGGACGCCGCCCTTTCCTTGTAACCGTCACCCAGCCTTCCTCGTCCGGCTCCCCTTCTTCCTTTTCTTTTTCTTCTTTCTGTGCAGGAGGGAAAAAGGAAAACAAATGTTTTTTGTCTGTCGTTTCTTTATGTGATCCATGACACAGCTAAAGGCAGTAGAAAATCAATTGTACTGCAGCATCCTGCATACATGCGTGAACGTTTGTCATTGTTCTTCCGCAGTTTTCACTATAGGTAGGAGATGTGACGATAGGTCACCAGCACTTCAAAATGCAAAGAAAATATTGTTTGTTGCAAATAACGTCACAAAAAGGTCAAAACTGCCGTTTCTGGGCCATACAAGGTTCCCTATCTAGGTGACACAGTGACCATGACACTCTCATTGGTCAGCACAGTAACTGGACCATGCTGACCAATGAAAAGCGTTCCTTGGCAAGAACCGCTTCTCATTGGTCGAGTTGTTCTTAGCTAGAAGCGCTTCTCTTTGGTTGGGTGACTGTGCTGACCAATGAGTGCTCTTCATTTGTGAATGTAATTCAAAATGCTCAAGTTTTGTATATGGTGTACAGGCGGTACACTAGTTGCGGCGGGGCGGAGGGGACGGTTGGTTGGTTGGGTTGGCACTTCAGACCAGCAGGGAAGGGGAGAGGGCACAGATCTGTGGGGGTAATATCAGTTTCTCACATTACCCTTTAAAGCTCTTTACTGTTTGGTAACAATATCTAAGCACTTTAAATTATATATTAAAAAAAACAAAGGCCGGCTTGGAAAGTCCTACCTCTTCAACTTTCTTATCATATTCCTGCATGTACTGTTCGACTTCAGCCTGGAGTTCAGCAACATTGATGAGGGACATCTCATAACTTTCTATCCATTCTGGAGGAAAAACAAAAAAGTCCTATTGCAAGCAGCATCTTTATATGAAGATTATTGCCATGGTTAAAACTCTAAACTGCTGGATATACTCATCCGTACCAAAATCCCCTCTGACTCCTAGACCGGTCTCCGAAGCCTCTCTCCGCTCCAGCGATGGAATATCCCTCTGCGTCCTCACATCCTACACGCTGTATAGTACATGATGACACACAGGACTTTAGACCACCGGAGTGGAGGGGGAGCGAGGCTGACGGGACCGGTCTAGGAGCCACCCAGGACCGTGTGAGTATAACGCTGTTATTTAAGCGCCCTAGGCAAAATGAGCACCTAACCCTTGCAGCGTGGGGCTACCCCCCAAATTTCAAGGTTCAAGTGCTCATTTTATCTAGGGAGAGTTATACCCACTGGATCGACAATCCCAGCTGGCTGCTAGACCGGTCCCTTCAGCCTCTCTCCCATCCGCTCCAGCGATGGAATGTCCCTCTGTGTCCTCACGTCCTATGCACTGTATAGTTTAACAAGTGTTAAGACATCAGAATTCACCTTTTAATGCAAATAACTATTTATACACACCTTGGATTCCAGTTTTTAAAAAATGATCCTCTCCAGATAAAACCAACGGGGTGGAGAATGTAAGGGAATTAAACTCACTAAGTCCTGAGGGTTTCTTAAACACCACATAAGCCACTTTATATCCCTGTAAAAATAAAACAAATATTTTTTAATATAATATAATTT